CAGGTAGTAAATCGACGACGTTTAAAGGAGTGCAAACTTGATCAACATGATTATACTAGAAGATTATTTCGTGCTCGAACAAAATACATTTCTAATTTTTTGTACAAAGTATGCAAGATTGATTAGCATGCATCTCGTGCTTTGCTAATTAAGAAACAATTAGGCCAGGTTTGTTTGGGTGATCATAGCCTTGATATTGAATTAATAATCTAACAAACTACATAATCTGATATTTGGTTAAGAAAAGTATAGTACGGATTAATAGTTCATCAGAACATAGCATCCCCTATATGGAAAATTATTGATACTCAAGAGGGAGGCATAAAATGAAGAATTAAGATAATGTTTAGACTAACTAGTTAGATTGTAAAAATGATAGAATCTTGTCAATCTCTCATTATAATCCTAACCCAAACTAAATATGAAATAAGATATACAATCCAAAAAAATTCTACAAATTTTAATCACAATCTAGTATTAAGTGCATGAAAGATTGTATAAAAAATTCTTATGGTTTTGTTTTAGATAGTAAAGGAACAGCCATTTTTAAATATGTATATATATTATTATAAAGTGACGTAAATTAAGTATAAGAAAGGAAGACTGACCAATAAATATCATATTTTGGATTTATAATTCATATAGTCTCATTTTTTTTTTTTTAATGATCCATTTGGTTCTTTTTGATATGTATTGACTCATTTACCTACCATATTATAGTATCACATTTAAAAAAAGTATACTAAGGAGTTTTTTAGTGTTACATCATACCTACTACGTTAGAGTGTCACATTTAAAAAAAATACACTAAAGAGTGTTAAATCTTTTAGGTCATGTTTGATTCACAACACTAATAGTGAAGTATTAATAATCCTATTAAATTAGTGTGGTATTCACTATCCAATTGGATTAATATCTATTGGATTAATAATCCCACCCCTACCCCATTACTAATAATCCTACAAATTAATTATCCATTGGATTATTAATCCTAAATCAAAATGTTAAAACAAATATAGGATAATTAGGCCCACGGATTAATAATCCCAATCCCATGCTCCAATCCACCCAATCAAACATGCCCTTATAGTATTATATCATACCCGTCACGTGTCACATGTCACGTTTGGAAAAAATAAACTAATGAATTTTTAGGGCTTGTTTGGTTTGCTTTTGAGAGAGTTGTTTTTGAAAAAAAAAAAAATTCAAAATTTTGTTTGGTTTGTGATTTTTCTCAAAAATTTTTTAAAATCACTTTCTCTCTTACAAATCAATTAATTACTTTTTCTTTCTCTTCTGTTATTCTCAATCACTTTTTCTTCTCTCATACATATCTACTCAATTACAACAAAATATCAAATCATCCTAAATTCCAAAACTACTTTCAAAATATATAACCAAATAAATCAAAAAAAATTCTAAACTCTCTTCCCAAACTTTTTTTTTGAAAATCAATTTCTCAAAAGAAAACCAAACACACCCTTAGTTTTTTTTAGTGCCACATCATACTCGTCACGTTGTCACATTTAAAAAAATATACTTAGTTTTTAGTTTTTTTAGAGTGTTATATCATACTCGTCACGTTGTTACATTTGCGTTACGTTGTCACATTTAGAAAAAATATACTAACAAGTTTTTGATTTTTTTTAAGTGTCACATCATACCTGCTACATTGTCACATTTGAAAAAAAATATATTAAGGAATTTTAAATTTTTTTGGAGTGTCACATTATATCCGCCATGTTGTCATATTTAAAAAATATATGCTAAGAAGTTTTTAATTTTTTTTGAATAAAAGATTTAGAGTGTCACATCATACTCGCCATGTTGTCACATTTGAGAAATGTACATTAAGAAATTTTTAGTTTTTTTTTAGTGTTACCCGCTGCGTTAGAGTGACACAGTAATACATTTCACATTGGAGTGTCACATCATACCTGTCACATTAATAAAAGAGTATAGTCATCTACCAAAATACTATCAACATCAAAAATAGAACTACACGGAAAGAAATTCTCTATTAATAGAACTTAACAGATCAATAAAAAAAATTTTAAATTAATTAAAATATTTATTTGCGAGATGGAATTTATTAATAAATATCCCAATAAGGAATTCAATATTTTATATGTACATTGTCCAAATAACCAAATAGAGTGACGTAAAAAAAAAAAAAAAATAGCACTATCAATCTTCTTTTTTATTTTTTTATTTTTAACAGGAAAGCACTGTCAATCTTGACCGCCATTATTTTGTTTGTCTTGCTTTCTGTTTACCGAAGGTTGCCTTTTATACAAGAAAAATGTTTGGGAACACTAAAAAGAGAGCACTAAGAGGAGCACTAATGATGTGACAGTGGGTCCCGCCCACTTTCTATGCCTTGTTTTTGTTTTTTGTCATTCCCAATATATTAGTGCTATTAGTGGTGTATTTTTTAGTGGTCTAAATCATTGTTGTTTATACAATCCACGTGGGTCCCACCCCACTGTGGGGGTACCCTCACCCCATGACTCAAATGGTCACTTTCTTTTTTTTTGATTCATCTACTTTCTTTTTTTTTTTTTTATTCATAAATGGTCACTTTCACTTCTATGATTTATCCTCTCTTTTTTTTTTAATTAAATATAATAATAATACACCACCAATTAATATTAAATTATTAATTAATTTATGGTATGTATCTGATAAAATAATATATTATTTATAAACAATTAATGATATTCACACAATTTTTTTTCTTCATTTGTCTGGCATAATAAAAGTTTAACTATAATTTTTTTAGGGATTGTATAAACTTATAAAAGTATGAATTTAAGATTTTTTGAAAAATCTTATAAAATAAATTAATTTTCACTCAAATGGATTTAATTATTTGGTAATGGTAGTAGTAATTACAGTGGTGGCAATGGCAACCGGCATGAAAAGAATAGTGATAATGAATAGAAGTAAGATTATCAGACATTGTTTAAGTGTTTATCTCTTTTTAATTGAAGAAATGGATAATATTATTCTTATTTTTTTTCGTTGGAATAACTATTTTTACTTACCTAGAACATATCAAACCAAATAAATAAGGAAAAGAAATTTAAGATGGGTGTTTGGAATTTGTTTATTTTGTGCCTTTTTTTTTCTTTGCTTGTTTTTGTCTGTAGTGAATTTTTTTTAAAAAAAATTCAAAAAACATTGAACTTCCATATTCAACTTCACAAGAAGAATCAAAAAATTAAAAACATTACAAAAAAAGTTCAGAAAAAATAAAAATAAGTCAAAATAGCGGACCTTTTTTTTAGCCTATTTTATTTTATTTTTTAAAATTTTTTTTGGATTTTTTTAAAATTACTTTTTAGATTCGTACATACAAGTTTGACTGAAAAAATAAAAAATTTGACATAATTTTAGAAAAAAAATCAATAAAATTAAAAATAAAATAAAAAAAGAAGTGACTTTTTAGGTATTGCCAAAGATCAATGGGTAATTGTTTTTAAGGTTAAGATTTTATAAGATGAAGGACATATAGTAGTTAAGATCACCCAATATTTTTATAGAAAAACTTCAATTCAGAAAAATTTTAATTTTCATAGAGAAATTTTTTTGAATCAGATGAAATTTTTCTGAGTCAGGTAAAATTTTTCTGAGATGAATTTTTTTTATGAAAATATTGAAAGATCTTAACTGATGAAAAAAATATTTTAGACCTTTCTTACTATACCAAATTAGAAAAGAATGTTTCATTAATTTTTTCAAGATCAAATGTGTTATTTTGTTTGTGTTTTGAGTTGGTTCATATTTGTTAAGCTGTCAGTGTCAACAACAATAACAAAAATGGGTTGGCAATTACAAAGAAGTCATTGACTGTTCTAAAACACTGTCAGAATGTGCTCCAAATATACTGTGAGTAGTAAAGAATGCAAAATTTATAATTTTATATTTGATAATTAAAAAATAAGAAAACATAACATTATGATCCATAAAAAATACCATCACGTGACTTTTACCAAATAATTTTTTACAATTACAACCACCATAGTATTATAATCGAATCAATAGGAAAGACACGTACTTTCCAATTACAAGAAATTAAAAGCAAGGGAAATGAGTAAGATTTTTTTTTTTTTCTTTTTTGGTGATTTTCATTATTCTTAAAATGATTTACGTCACTTATTTTAAAAATTGTGAAAATCTTAAAAAGAAAAAATTCCTATCATTGTGCCGTTTTGAAAACTTTCATAAAAAGTCATGTTTTTTTTTTTATCATTTTTTAAAAACACAAGTGGTTAAAAACGTAACAAAATTTGTTTGAAAAGGGTAAAAAACGTAAGTGTGAAATTACAAATTAAGACCTATAATAAAAAAATAAAAAAATAAATTATTTATGTTGAGTAAGGGTATTTTAGTCATTTTAATTTGATTTGATATCATAAATAAATATTAAATTAAAAAACAAAAAATCAATTTTTTATCAACTTCTAAAACCACTTTCTAAAAAACTAAGGCTCCGTTTGGCAAGAGCTAAACGGGGCTTTTTTAGCTATTTTAGCCACAAAAGACAAAATAGGCTATTTTAGCCACAAAAAATAAAATATCACATTCAACCCATAATCATTACATTCTTCTCTCACAAAAAAAACCAAAAAAGTCAAAAAGTCAAAAAGCCCTTCCCAAACCAAACTTTTTAGCCTAAGCTAAAATAACAAAAAAAAATCAAAAAGCCAACCCACTTTCCAAACAGAGACTAAAAAACTTAATAAAAAATCAAAAATGAACTTTTTACTAACTTTTTAAAACACCTCATTATTGTAAAAACAAATAACCATGTTACATCAGACAATTTTCCTCCTTGCAATCTCTACAAATCAGATGACAAACAAAATTTTAAAAATTATTTACATTATATTTTACCACCTTATTTGTGTGGGGATTGTAAGGAGAAAATCGTGTGTAGTAAACATTTTTCAAAAATAACAACACAGACGGCAGACACAACTTTAACTTTTCTGTAATTATTTGATCTGAACCACACATGTTTGATGATGAGTGTTTTGTCTGGTTGCTTTTTTGATGCTCTTCGCATTTCAAGAAACTGTTTATTGTTACTTTTAGGGGTTTTCTGAGCAGAATATCTAATTGGGTTTGCTCTGTTACTGAAATTCCTGAATTTGATCTTCTGGGTTTCGTCGAAAGTGAGTTTTGAGCTCTCAATCTGAAATTGAGCTCCATATTTGAAGTTTTGGGTCTGCTTCTGGCTCTGTATTTTTTTGTTGAAACTATGGCATCTACTGATGTTTGAAGTGACAGTGGATTCAAGCGTTGATTTCTCAATCAAACCAAGGTATTTATCATTCATTTTGTTTTGATCCTTTACATGAAACTTATGGCAGTGTTTCTATTTTTTACAACACAAATTTTTCATCTGTAATTAGGTGATCTTCAATTTTGGGTCTGAGTGATTCTACCCAATTAGTATTTTTACGATTTGGGTTGTTTTATTGTGATTTTGCTGAGATATCTGTAAAAACTGTATCTGATCAGAACCAAACAAAAAGCAGTTCTTGAGCTTTTGAATCTGAAATAGAATTGGTCTTCTAATCTAAATTAAAGAAAGCGTAAAATTTGTTGGGGGGTTCTGTGATTTTTGTGAGACTTGTTCATGATCATGGAAGTAATAATATCCATGGGGTGACTATGGAGAAACATCTTAGTGTTTGTGGGCAGTGTGGATACTGGTAAGTACTCCTCCCCCTTCCCAAAATTTTATTTTTTTATTATCCGAAAATATTAGTCTCTTTTCAAAAATTAAAGATTAAAATAATATAAATGTTCTATTTTGTCTTTCTTTTAAATTCATTAACATTACAAATAATACAATCATCATGGCAATTGATATTTCTCAAAAAAATGTACTATTAAAGGGTAATTATGGAAAATTAATACTTTTAAAGTGTAATAATTGTATTATAAAAAAAAAAAAGTTGGATTTCTCAAAAGAGGCTATTATTTTGAGACGGAGGGAGTATATACTAACCACTCGATCATAGATTCAACTTGTGGCTTGTTACCTTAATTTCTATGTATTTATAGTTGAGGGGAAGCAGTTATCTTGGTAATCCATTCTAATCATAGTGAAAACCAAAGTGGCTGTGGACGTAGCTCTTATTTGGAGTGAATTACGTAAATCTTGTGTTTTGTAACGAGCTAAGTAGTGTAGTACTAAAGCCCTGAGTGACTCTTGGCTGCTTGAAGTGATAGATGCAATTGCATTTCACTACTCATTCCTACGAAAGGAGCCAATAAAGAGTGGGGGAAGGGACGGATTTGAGACTACCGACGTCTCTAGCGCTGATACATAGAGCAGCCGGGTAGTTTTTTTTTAGAAAGAGTGTTTCCTCCTTTTATTAGAGTATAGGTCTTTTCCTCTTCTCTTCTCCGTGTGTATTGAAAATTTATTTTTTAGAAAGATTGTTTCCTCCATATATTAGAGTATAGGTCTTTTCCTCTTCTCTTCTCCGTGTGTATTGAACGATGGGATGAATAGAGCCACGTAGTGCATAGCATACCGATTGAAAGCTCTGTGTATCCTTAATGAACAGTAGTAGTAATTGTAGACGTAGAATAAGCAGCTCTTTTGATCAGTCCATGTGATTTATCTTTCTTGTGCGTTATTTGTTTTTGTGCTTCATGTTTCATCAATCCTAGTTGAGTGTTATGGATTCCTAACAGGTTGATGGAAAAACTGCCGAGTTTTCGTGGTGGGGCAATGGAGAAGCAGAAGAGTTTTCGTGGTGGGGTAATGGAGAAGCAGAAGAGTTTTCGTGGGTTGATGGAGAAACAGAAGAGCTTTCGGATAGCCATGGAGAGACAGCTCAGTTTTGGTGGGGAGAGGAAGAGGGGCAAAGATTCACCAGGAAAACGGGGCGACTCTCCCCTTCATTTGGCTGCGAGAGCAGGGAACGCGAGTAAGGTAAGAGATATTTTTCAGAGGTTTGATGCTAATGTTGTTAAAGAATTGCTATCAAAGCAGAACCAGGAGGGAGAGACTGCTTTGTATGTTACCGCAGAAAATGGGCATGCCCATGTTGTCACTGAATTTTTGAAACATTTAGACCTCCAAACCGCATCTATTGCTGCCAAGAATGGCTATGATCCATTTCATATTGCAGCTAAGCAGGGTCATCTTGGTAAGATTTCAGTTCCATTCTTCGCTTGTCTGTTTTATTACAAGGATTCCTTTGGTTGGGATTGAAGCTTTCCTTGACATGAGCTATGTTGGCATTTGCATTAATTATCTTCCTTGAGCATAATGATTATTCTACTTTCTGTATAATAATTCTATGGTAATTTCAAATGATGGAAATACTTAGTCCCTTTGATATCACATACTTGCCATTAGTATGTTGGCATTACGTACAAGGTGAGACTACATTGTGGTGCATGCAATATTGTAAGGGAATACATATGTAGATAGAGGTGAAAATGGTTTTATGAAAAAAAAAAAAAAAAAACGAGTTTTCAAGTCGAAGTGTGTAGAATAGCCTATGTTATTTTTTACTTTAAGAATCGACATAAATCTTTCAATCCAAGGTGATTCAACTCACATATTATCAAAAATTATGCAGGAAATTAAAACCAAGTACACAACCATGATGAGATTAATTTTTAATGCAGGAAACCCAAACCCAGGGGAAAAAAACCACAATCTAACCGCTAATAAAGATTAAAATGAGCCTCCTAGTAGTCCAATCTTCCAACCACATCCGACACAATCTTCAAATGTAATTCTCCGATCTTTAACAGCAACCACAAACACAATTCACCCAATTATGAATGTGCCCCAAAGAAGTTTCCTGCTACCAAGTCTGTTTATCGTAAAATCTATATGATATGCTAATTTAATTTTTTTTTTCCCATTCCTCATCAAGTTTCTGTGTTAATTCTTCAACTGATTGTAATGATCATGGACTCAACTAAAAATTATGGTATAAACTCAATGGAATGAAATTTCCAACACTACAAAAACAACCAAGGGGTACAACTCATTTTTCTGTATCATAGATATTATATATGTTCACATGAAATAACCAGAAAAGAAAAAATACTGATTTTTATCCTTTCTTTTTCACTTCAAGTTAATGAAAATTTAATTTGTTTATGTATTCTCTTCATATATCAAGCAAGTTTATGTAGAATTCTGTTGTTTTATTTTACCAGTTCACTTCGACTCTGGATGTTAACTAAGGCTTCAAAGCTTTTGTTGAGATTGGATATAAAAGCTTAATAAATTGTTGGGATCATAAAGCTTGTTGGACTTTTATTTAAAAGGAACTAAAAACATAGTTACTTGAACTTCATTGTACTACAAGAGTCTAATAATAAAATATAGAAAACAAAAAAACATAGCGATTCATTTTCCATCTTGATCTTGCTAAACCTCGTCACCTGAAAGGGGTAATAGCTATAAGCACATAGCAGAGTGAGAAATATCATACTATGAGTGTAGGGGCACAAAATGGCCATGGATATTTATTTAAGCTAAAACATTAACATAAATTGAGTTGAGTTGAATACACAAATTAATTAAGCGCCAGAAACTTAAATAATCACTGTAACCACAGTACATTACTAAGTGACAATCACTACACTGGTCAATGAATCCATGACAAACACTGGACCACAAAGTGGTCAAACACTAGCCAATGGTTATTTAAGTCCTCCAAGGCATGGGACTCCCGTGGTGGTACTCACAAAACATATTTTCATATAAGGTCATAGCCAAATATGCTTTAAAAGTAAAACAAACATATCCATGGGTTTCACTTTTAAGCAAATAGGGTTCAGAAATAAGACCATGTAGCTGAAACTTTTATAAAACATAACTTTGATTAATATATTAATAAAACATAAATTATATAAAATAGATTTTGGTAAGTCAAAATATCAGTAAAATATTTTTTGATAACTCAAGGTAGAATATAACTCACCTTAAATTAATTCATTTATTTTTCCTTTCCACCACTCAAGATTCTCACCCGTGCCGTCCTCTTTCTACTCTCTATTTATTTGTTTTTCCGTTTCCTTAACATACCAATCTTCTCTATTTATAGGACAAAAATTCTTGGGTAACAAGCTACGGAGAGTTCCGTAAATTGACGCGTGTAAGTCTCTGGTCCACCCTTATCTCTTTATTTATAATCTTGTTTGATTTTATCTTTTTTTTTTCTTTGACAATTGACTCATTTTGACCATTTGACCATTTTTTTTTATTTAAAAGGTATTACCTTCTTTGGTAATTCAAGATGACTCCTAAAACTTACGTATAATGATAAGTTAGGTTCATGTCTAAAAACCTCACTACCCAACTATAAATTACCACTTACCACTTATTAAAATATTTAATGTGTAATATTTCATAACGTATTTCTTTAACTATAAAATTCCCAATCTCCTAAATTATGCATTTATTTATTATTATTTATTTATTTATTATTATTATTATTATTATTATTATTTATTATCGTAATGTTAAATTTAAAAGATTCGGGTGTCACATATACAGTTGAGAAGACTGCTGAAGACCGTGCAATCTGGGAGACCGAGCTCGTATTTTAGCTCGATCTGATCAGGCATTTCTTAGCTCAACCGAAGGTAAGTAATCCGAAACATGCTGCGGAGATGGAATTAAAGGGCAATTGAGAGGATAATTTATGTGACTAGTTTGGGCTGAACTAAGTCCATTTATCTTAGACGTTGGGCCGAACGACGGGCCGAAGTAAATGTTTGAGTAGCATGGTCCTGAATCATCTAGACATCAAGTCGATTAGAGATGGGCTGCCAGGGACCTGACCTAGCTATCCCAGGCTAAACCCCGTAGAGGACCGAGGTGTCAATGGAAGGTGGACCAAGCTAAGGGTAGCTCTGCAAGGTGCCATTTCACAGTTAGGACTACAACAATGTTGCCTAAAGCAGCATCAAGCTGTGTAAGCTCGGTTGAGTGTGGTAGCAGCCGAGGTAAGAGTTTTAACTATCTCACTTGGTTGGCAGTGAGTAGGGTGTTATCAGGATATGCATTATCCATAGGAGTGTGATTCCTAGCATGACTCTGCTGAGGAGAGTTAGAATTCTACTAGGATTATGCCAGGTGGAATCTATAAAAGCTTATGACATAACCTATGCACAGGTATTACAATTCTTATTCTCAAATACACAGAGCTTTTGTGTCTATTGTTTACTTTGCTGACTTCGGTATCGGAGAGGTTTTTGGCACACCCTCGCCGGCTAGCTCACGTTTATATTTTCAGGTAGTAAAGCGACGACGTTTAAATGAGTGCAAACTTGATCAACATGATTATACTAGAAGATTATTTCGTGCTCGTACAAAATACATTTCTAATTTTTTGTACAAAGTATGCAAGATTGATTAGCATGCATCTCATGCTTTGCTAATTAAGAAACAATTAGGCCAGGTTTGTTTGGGTGATCATAGCCTTGATATTGAATTAATAATCTAACAAACTACATAATCTGATATTTGGTTTAGAAAAGTATAGTACGGATTAATAGTTCATCAGAACATAGCATCCCCTATATGGAAAATTATTGATACTCAAGAGGGAGGCATAAAATGAAGAATTAAGATAATGTTTAGACTAACTAGTTAGATTGTAAAAATGATAGAATCTTGTCAATCTTTCATTATAATCCTAACCCAAACCAAATATGAAATAAGATATACAATCCAAAAAAATTCTGCAAATTCTAATCACAATCTAGTATTAAGTGCATGAAAGATTGTATAAAAAATTCTTATGGTTTTGTTTTAGATAGTAAAGGAACTGCCATTTTTAAATATGTATATATATTACTATAAAGTGACGTAAATTAAGGCCAAGTTTGGGTAGTTTAAAAAAAGTCAAAAAGTCAAAAAGTTACTCAAAAAGTTAAAAAGTTATCACTATTCACTAAAAGTCAACAATTACGGCTGCACAATTCCCAATTCTAATTTTCCCATACAAACTAATTTTTACAATTTTTTATTACACGTTTTTCCATAAAAAGTGAAAAAGTTTACCCAAACATTCATATTTTCAACCTCAACTTTTTAGTCCAAAAAGACAAAAAGTGCACTTATTTAGGACACCCCAAACAAACCCTAAGTATAAGAAAGGAAGACTTGACCAATAAATATCATATTTTGGATTTACAATTCATATAGTCTCATTTTTTTTTTTTTAATGATTCATTTGGTTCTTTTTTATATGTATTGACTCATTTACCCACCATATTATAGTATTACATTTAAAAAAAGTATACCAAGGAGTTTTTTAGTGTTACATCATACCTACTACGTTGGAGTGTCACATTTAAAAAAAGTACACTAAAGAGTTTTAAATCTTTTGTAGTATTATATCATACCCGTCACGTGTCATATGTCACGTTTGGGAAAAATAGACTAATGAATTTTTAGAGCTTGTTTGGTTTGCTTTTGAGAGAGTTGTTTTTGTAAAAAAAAAAATTCAAAATTTTGTTTGGTTTGTGATTTTTTTCAAAAAATTTCCAAAATCACTTTCTCTCTTACAAATCAATTAATTACTTTTTCTTTCTCTTCTGTCATTCTCAATCACTTTTTCTCTCACACATATCTACTCAATTACAACAAAATATCAAATCATCCCAAACTCCAAAACTACTTTCAAAATATACAATCAAATAAATCAAAAAAAAATTCTAAACTCTCTTCCCAAACTTTTTTTTTTTGAAAATCAATTTCTCAAAAGAAAACCAAACACATCCTTAGTTTTTTTTAGCGTCACATCATACTCGTCACGTTGTCATATTTGAAAAAATATACTTAGTTTTTAGTTTTTTTAGAGTGTTATATCATACTCGTCACGTTGTCACATTTGCGTCACATTGTCACATTTGCGTCACGTTGTCACATTTAGAAAAAATATACTAACAAGTTTTTGATTTTTTTTAGTGTCACATCATACCTGCTACATTGTCACATTTGAAAAAAAGTATATTAAAGAATTTTAAATTTTTTTGGAGTGTCACATTATATCTGCCATGTTGTCACATTTAAAAAATATATACTAAGGAGTTTTAATTTTTTTTTTTTAAATAAAAGATTTAGAGTGTCATATCATACTCGCCATGTTGTCACATTTGATAAATGTACATTAAGAAATTTTTAGTTTTTTTTAGTGTTACCCGCTACGTTAGAGTGACATAGTAATACATTCCATATTGGAGTGTTGCATCATACCTGCCACATTAATAAAAGAGTAATGATTCATCCCCCCTTTTCCCCTACCCCCTTTGACCCCCTCTCTCTCTCTCATTGGTTACCTTTTCTTTTTCTTTTTCTTTTTTTTCCAGCTCCACCAATCACCCCTGCCATGTGGCAAAGGGGGGTGAGGGGGTGACCCCCAAAAGGGGGTCCCAAGTATTATTCTTAATAAAAGGGTATAATCATCTACCAAAATACTATCAACATCGAAAATAGAACTATACGGAAAGAAATTCTCCATTAATAAAACTTAACAGATCAATAAAAAAAATTTAAAATTAATTAAAATATTTATTTGTGAGATGGAACTTATTAATAAATATCCAATAAGGAATTCAATATTTTATATGTACATTGTCCAAATAACCAAATAGAGTGACGTAAAAAAAAAAAAAAAATAGCACTATCAATCTTCTTTTTTATTTTTTTATTTTTAACAGGAAAGCACTGTCAATCTTGACCGCCATTATTTTGTTTGTCTTGCTTTCTGTTTACCGAAGGTTGCCTTTTATACAAGAAAAATGTTTGGGAACACTAAAAAGAGAGCACTAAGAGGAGCACTAATGATGTGACAGTGGGTCCCGCCCACTTTCTATGCCTTGTTTTTGTTTTTTGTCATTCCCAATATATTAGTGCTATTAGTGGTGTATTTTTTAGTGGTCTAAATCATTGTTGTTTATACAATCCACGTGGGTCCCACCCCACTGTGGGGGTACCCTCACCCCATGACTCAAATGGTCACTTTCTTTTTTTTGATTCATCTACTTTTTTTTTTTTTTATTCATAAATGGTCACTTTCACTTCTATGATTTATCCTCTCTTTTTTTTTTAATTAAATATAATAATAATACACCACCAATTAATATTAAATTATTAATTAATTTATGGTATGTATCTGATAAAATAATATATTATTTATAAACAATTAATGATATTCACACAATTTTTTTCTTCATTTGTCTGGCGTAATAAAAGTTTAACTATAATTTTTTTAGGGATGGTATAAACTTATAAAAGTATGAATTTAAAATTTTTTGAAAAATCTTATAAAATAAATTAATTTTCACTCAAATGGATTTAATTATTTGGTAATGGTAGTAGTAATTACAGTGGTGGCAATGGCAACCGGCATGAAAAGAATAGTGATAATGAATAGAAGTAAGATTATCAGACATTGTTTAAGTGTTTATCTCTTTTTAATTGAAGAAATGGATAATATTATTCTTATTTTTTTTCGTTGGAATAACTATTTTTACTTACCTAGAACATATCAAACCAAATAAATAAGGAAAAGAAATTTAAGATGGGTGTTTGGAATTTGTTTATTTTGTGGCTTTTTTTTTCTTTGCTTGTTTTTGTCTGTAGTGAATTTTTTTTAAAAAAAATTCAAAAAACATTGAACTTCCATATTCAACTTCACAAGAAGAATCAAAAAATTAAAAACATTACAAAAAAAGTTTAGAAAAGATAAATATAATTCAAAATAGAGGACCTTTTTTTTAGCTTATTTTTTAAAAAAAAATTTTGAATTTTTTTAAAATTACTTTTTAGATTCGTATATACAAGTTTGACTGAAAAAATAAAAAATTTGACATAATTTTAGAAAAAAAATCAATAAAATTAAAAATAAAATAAAAAAAGAAGTGACTTTTTAGGTATTGCCAAAGATCAATGGGTAATTGTTTTTAAGGTTAAGATTTTATAAGATGAAGGACATATAGTAGTTAAGATCACCCAATATTTTTATAGAAAAACTTCAATTCAGAAAAATTTTAATTTTCATAGAGAAATTTTTTTGAATCAGATGAAATTTTTCTGAGTCAGGTAAAATTTTTCTAAGTCGAATTTTTTTGTGAAAATGTTGATAGACATTACTTACTATGAAAATATTGTATATCTTTTATCTTATAAAATCTTAATATCATAGACCTTAAAAAAATCCTCCTATTTTTTATTGTAAATATTTATTTTTATTTTTTTAATGTGAGTTGTATTTTGCTACATTTGTGAGCAGTATTTTTTTTAATATTTTAAATATTAAAATTTTAAAAAATATATTTTTTATTTTAAATGTATAATTTTTTAAAATATTTTTTCATTTTTTTAATTTTAATTATTTTTTTTTGGTGATTCTCATTATTCTTAAAATGATTTACGCCACTTATTTTAAAAATTGTGAAAATCTTAAAAAGAAAAAATTCCTATCATTGTGCCGTTTTGGAAATTTTCATAAAAAGTCATGTTTTTTTATCGTTTTCTAAAAATACAAGTGGTTAAAAACGTAACAAAATTGGTTTGGAAATGATAAAAAACGCAAGTGTGAAATTATAAATTAGAACCTATGATAAAAAAATAAAAAAATAAATTACTTATGTTGGGTAAGGATATTTTGATCATTTTAATTTGATTTGACATCATAAATAAATATTAAACTAAAAAGCAAAAAGTCAATTTTTTACCAACTTCTAAAATCACTTTCTAAAAAACTAAAAAACTTGATAAAAAATCAAAAGTATACTTTTTACAAACTTTTTAAAACACCTCATTATTGTAAAAACAAATAACCATGTTACATCAGACAATTTTCCTCCTTACAATCTCTACAAATCAGATGACAAACAAAATTTTAAAAATTATTTACATTATATTTTACCACCTTATTTGTGTGGGGATTGTAAGGAGAAAATTGTGTGTAGTAAACATTTTTCAAAAATAACAACACAGACGGCAGACACAACTTTAACTTTTCTGTAATTATTTGATCTGAACCACACATGTTTGATGATGAGTGTTTTGTCTGGTTGCTTTTTTGATGCTCTTCGCATTTCAAGAAACTGTTTATTGTTACTTTTAGGGGTTTTCTGAGCAGAAAATCTAATTGGGTTTGCTCTGTTACTGAAATTCCTGAATTTGATCTTCTGGGTTTCGTCGAAAGTGAGTTTTCAGCTCTCAATCTGAAATTGAGCTCCATATTTGAAGTTTTGGGTCTGCTTCTGGCTCTGTATTTTTTTGTTGAAACTATGTCATCTACTGATGTTTGAAGTGACAGTGGATTCAAGCGTTGATTTCTCAATCAAACCAAGGTATTTATCATTCATTTTGTTTTGATCCTTTACATGAAACTTATGGCAGTGTTTCTATTTTTTACAACACAAATTTGTCATCTGTAATTAGGTGATCTTCAATTTTGGGTCTGAGTGATTCTACCCAATTAGTATTTTTACGATTTGGGTTGTTTTATTGTGATTTTGCTGAGATATCTGTAAAAACTGTATCTGATCAGAACCAAACAAAAAGCAGTTCTTGAGCTTTTGAATCTGAAATAGAATTGGTCTTCTAATCTAAATTAAAGAAAGCGTAAAATTTATTGGGGGGTTCTGTGATTTTTGTGAGACTTGTTCATGATCATGGAAGTAATATCCATGGGGTGACTATGGAGAAACATCTTAGTGTTTGTGGGCAGTGTGGATACTGGTAAGTACTCCTCCCCCTTCCCAAAATTTTATTTTTTTATTATCCGAAAATATTAGTCTCTTTTCAAAAATTAAAGATGAAAATAATATAAATTTTTTATTTTGTCTTTCTTTTAAATTCATTAACATTACAAATAATACAATCATCATGGCAATTGATATATCTCAAAAAATGTACTATTAAAGGGTAATTCTGGAAAATTAATACTTTTAAAGTGTAATAATTGTATTATAAAAAAAAAGTTGGATTTCTCAAAAGAGGCTATTATTTTGAGACGGAGGGAGTATATACTAACCACTCGATCATAGATTCAACTTGTGGCTTGTTACCTTAATTTCTATGTATTTATAGTTGAGGGGAAGCAGTTATCTTGGTAATCCATTCTAATCATAGTGAAAACCAAAGTAGCTGTGGACGTAGCTCTTATTTGGAGTGAATTACGTAAACCTTGTGTTTTGTAACGAGCTAAGTAGTGTAGTACTAAAGCCCTGAGTGACTCTTGGCTGCTTGAAGTGATAGATACAATTGCTTTTCACTACTCATTCCTATGAAAGGAGCCAATAAAGAGTGGGGGAAGGGATGGATTTGAGGCTACTGACGTCTATAGCGCTGATACATAGAGCAGCCTGATAATTTATTTTTTAGAAAGATTGTTTCCTCCATATATTAGAGTATAGGTCTTTTCCTCTTCTCTTCTCCGTGTGTATTGAATGATGGGATGAATAGAGCCACGTAGTGCATAGCATACCTATTGAAAGCTCTGTGTATCCTTAATGAACAGTAGTAGTAATGGTAGACGTAGAATAAGCAGCTCTTTTGATCAGTCCATGCGATATATCTTTCTTGTGCGTTATTTGTTTTTGTGCTTCATGTTTCATCAATCCTAGTTAAGTGTTGTGGATTCCTAACAGGTTGATGGAAAAACTGCCGAGTTTTCGTGGTGGGGTAATGGAGAAGCAGAAGAGTTTTCGTGGTGGGGTAATGGAGAAGCAGAAGAGTTTTCGTGGGTTGATGGAGAAACAGAAGAGCTTTCGGATAGCCATGGAGAGACAGCTCAGTTTTGGTGGGGAGAGGAAGAGGGGCAAAGATTCACCAGGAAAACGGGGCGACTCTCCCCTTCATTTGGCTGCGAGAGCAGGGAACGCGAGTAAGGTAAGAGATATTTTTCAGAGGTTTGATGCTAATGTTGTTAAAGAATTGTTATCAAAGCAGAACCAGGAGGGAGAGACTGCTTTGTATGTTACCGCAGAAAATGGGCATGCCCATGTTGTCACTGAATTTTTGAAACATTTAGACCTCCAAACCGCATCTATTGCTGCCAAGAATGGCTATGATCCATTTCATATTGCAGCTAAGCAGGGTCATCTTGGTAAGATTTCAGTTCCATTCTTTGCTTGTCTGTTTTATTACAAGGTTTCCTTTGGTTGGGATTGAAGCTTTCCTTGACATGAGCTATGTTGGCATTTGCATTAATTATCTTCCTTGAGCATAATGATTATTCTACTTTCTGTATAATAATTCTATGGTAATTTCAAATGATGGAAATACTTAGTCCCTTTGATATCACATACTTGCCATTAGTATGTTGGCATTACGTACAAGGTGAGACTACATTGTGGTGCATGCAATATTGTAAGGGAATACATATGTAGATAGAGGTGAAAATGGTTTTATGAAGAAAAAAAAAAAAAAACGAGTTTTCAAGTCGAAGTGTGTAGAATAGCCTATGTTATTTTTTACTTTAAGAATCGACATAAATCTTTCAATCCAAGGTGATTCAACTCACATATTATCAAAAATTATGCAGGAAATTAAAACCAAGTACACAACCATGATGAGATTAATTTTTAATGCAGGAAACCCAAACCCAGGGGAAAAAAACCACAATCTAACCGCTAATAAAGATTAAAATGAGCCTCCTAGTAGTCCAATCTTCCAACCACATCCGACACAATCTTCAAATGTAATTCTCCGATCTTTAACAGCAACCACAAACACAATTCACCCAATTATGAATGTGCCCCAAAGAAGTTTCCTGCTACCAAGTCTGTTTATCGTAAAATCTATATGATATGCTAATTTAATTTTTTTTTTCCCATTCCTCATCAAGTTTCTGTGTTAATTCTTCAACTGATTGTAATGATCATGGACTCAACTAAAAATTATGGTATAAACTCAATGGAATGAAATTTCCGATACTACAAAAACAACCAAGGGGTACAACTCATTTTTCTGTATCATAGATATTATATATGTTCACATGAAATAACCAGAAAAGAAAAAATACTGATTTTTATCCTTTCTTTTTCACTTCAAGTTAATGAAAATTTAATTTGTTTATGTATTCTCTTCATATATCAAGCAAGTTTATGTAGAATTCTGTTGTTTTATTTTACCAGTTCACTTCGACTCTGGATGTTAACTAAGGCTTCAAAGCTTTTGTTGAGATTGGATATAAAAGCTTAATAAATTGTTGGGATCATAAAGCTTGTTGGACTTTTCCCGTTTGGTTTTGCTTCTTGTAAGTTGAAAGCTAATAATCAAAAAACAGAAGCCCAAAGCACCCCTCTCCCATGCTCTAGATAACAACTTTTTCTCTCTTATTTAAGTTATTTCTGTGTAACAATAGGCTGTAAACAAAAGTTGCACCAAACAGTCTAGAACAAACTTCCAAAATAAAAAAGTTATGAGCAACTCATATAAGCTGCACCAAACATATGCACCAAAGATTCTTCTTTATCTCTTTTTTATCTCTGTTCTTCCTCTTGCTTATAGCCTTTCTTTGCCATGATTTTGCAGAGGTATTAAAGGAACTTTTGCATTCTTTCCCCAATCTGGTCATGACCACTGATCCGTCCAATTCAACAGCCTTACACACCGCTGCAGCTCAAGGACATATCGATATAGTCAATCTGCTTCTAGAAGCTGACTCAAACCTTGCCAAGATTGCCCGAAACAACGGCAAGACTGTGCTACATACTGCAGCAAGGATGGGCTACCTAGAAGTGGTGAAATCTATTCTAAGCAAGGATTCGAGTATTGGTTTTAGAACTGATAAGAAGGGCCAAACTGCATTGCACATGGCTGTGAAAGGGCAGAGTGTGGAGATTGTGCTCGAATTAAGTAAACCTGACCCGTCAGTTTTGAACTTGGAGGATAACAAGGGAAACACGGCACTGCATGTTGCAATAAGCAAAGGCAAAGTTGAGGTTGATTTCCCTTTCCTTTCTATTTGTCTCATGACTTGTGCCTTAGATTTTGTCAGTAGTTAAACGCATTTCAATTAGCTCTTTTATTTTTTATGCACTTGATGTGAATAATTTATATGTTGTTAATATGGTCAGGTTTTATGAAGTCTAATTGAGGTCGAAGAGTGGTTTGGGTCCATCAGATTCTTGAATTTGCCAATCCATATGAGAAAGTTCAACATATTTAGTTTCCTGTAGAGTTTACTCAACATTAAACAGACACAACAAAATAAAATATATGATGGTTAACATTTCAACAGTTCAAACACTATGGTAGTGATTCAATTATTCTAAATCTCAACCCCATCAATACCATAAACACTGGAAATTTGAAAACAGAAACTCATGTTGGGCAGTCCATACATCTCACAACTTTTATGTAACCTTCGTAAAAAAGGCGAATATGAACTGATACTTTATTATGTTGATTCCTATTCATTATTCATCGTAGTTAAATTCTTTTTTACTAACCAAAAATAAGACCATGAGGAATACATCACTTTTTAGTTACTCTTTTCTTCGTTCTTTTTTCTTTTTCTTTTTCTTTTTCTTTTTTTGCGTGTGCTTAAGAAATGCTTGATTTTAATTCTCATCATGTGGCCTAGTATGATTTCTTTTGTATATATGTTGAATTTTTGTAAGTTATGCAGCATTTATTTCTAATTATACATATTGTGCTGAGTGTTGTCAGTTTCTTACGATTACGATTCACGACGTTCTTCTTACGATTTGATACTTCTTTTTTAGAGGTAAATCAATACTATCATCAATACGTTTCATAAATTAAATGTATCTTACGATACATAGAAGATACATGATGCAATATATGATTCGTGTTATCCAATCAATTATCTATATAGGGGGACCTAGTGTAAAAGTCTGGCTTTAACACTACCGAAATGCTTTATGTGCCTGCAGATAGCTCGTTGTCTACTATCAATTGAGGGGGTTAACATCCATGCAATAAACAAAGCTGGACATACCCCTCTTGACATCGCAGAAAAGTTTGGAACTCCAGAACTTGTCACCATTTTAAGAGAATCTAAGGCCACCAATGCTAGAGATCATGGAAAACCCCCAAATGCAGCGAAGCAACTCAAGCAGACCGTGAGCGACATAAAACACGATGTGCAGTCCCAACTCCAACAGACACGTCAAACTGGTGTCAAGGTCCGGAGGATTGCAAAGAAGCTAAAGAAGCTCCACATCAGTGGCCTCAACAATGCCATTAACTCAGCTACTGTTGTTGCTGTCCTCATTGCCACTGTCGCTTTTGCGGCCATTTTTACTGTACCTGGCCAATTTGTTGAGGAACCTACAGATGGGTCTTCACTTGGGCAAGCCCATGTGGCGGAAAAACCAGCTTTCATAATTTTCTTTGTGTCTGATAGTGCGGCGTTATTCATCTCCCTTGCTGTTGTTTTAGTCCAGACTTCTTTGGTTGTGATTGAACATGAGGCAAAGAAGCAACTTGTGTTTGTGATTAACAAGCTCATGTGGCTGGCTTGTCTTTGCATTTCGATCGCCTTTGTTTCTCTCAGCTATGTCGTGGTGGGATCAAAAGAAAGGTGGCTTGCTGTCTCTGTAACGCTAATTGGTAGTGTAATCATGGTCACTACAATTGGCTCGATGTGCTTCTGTGTGGTTCGCCAGAGGATAAAAGAGTCAAGGTCAAGGAACATAAGTAGAACTGAAACCCTGTCCCGATCATTCTCCCTGTCTAGGGCAGCATCTGATTCCGAGATATTGAATGAAAAGTATAAGAGTTTGTATGCAGTTTAAGAGTAAATGAAAGTTGGGGAACAGAAAAGAAGATTGAACGGCCTTCGGTTTTTCTATCTATATCTCACAATGACTAGTTTCTCTTCTGCTGCATCTCAGAAGTGTGGATATTGGTGATTACCTTGCAAGGTGTTCTTCGCCTTTCAAATATGTCCTGTTGTTCTAATCTTGTGAGGACATAAGATTAGAGGTCACGTTTAGTTCATTGTTTACAACTACTTATGATGAGTTTTGGTTATCAGACAAGAAGGTGCCTATCATTGATGTGTTCGAAACTACGAATCTGCATGTAAGTCTACATAATCCAATTCTACTTGCAAATGTTGTAATGACGGTTGATGTTTATAATGCAGGTAACAAAGGCCTTTCTCTTCTTTTTTTTTTTTTTTTTCTCATGATATTCCTGTTATTTTTCCCTATCCATTTTCTATTGGCTTGTTTGATGTGTGGTTAGAACATTTGTTCAAGTTAAATATATATATAGGATGATACAAAACCAAGCATAAATGTAAGAACATCATGTACAAGTAGACACAAAAATGCTAATCCAAGCCTAGAAAGGTCAAACATATTTAGAGAGAGAGAACCAACATTTGTTTGAGTTGGAGAACATATTAAAGACCAAGCAGCTGGGAATGGCAATGGGGGACAATGGGGGACAATGAGGTGGATATTAATTCTTCATCCCCATTTTCTTAGAATAAATTTTTCTCATTCCCCATTCCCAATGGGTACCACCCTCTTAATTTTTTAATAGGTATGGATTTTCTCAAACCCACTTTAATCTCCATTTTTATTTTTTATATTTAATGTTAACAACCATTTTTTTTTATTTTTTATTTTTTAAGGTTCACAATAAAAACTAAATATACCTTCAATCTTTTTTCTTTATTTTTTAATATATTTAATGTTAACAAATTTTTTTTTTTTTTTTTTTTAGGTTCACAACAAAAACTAAATATACCTTCAATCTTTTTTCTTTTTTTTTAATATATTTAATGTTAACAACCCCCTTTTTTTTTTTATAAAGGTTTTAGCTAAATATACCTTCAATCTTTTTTCTTTCTTTTTTAATATATTTAAGGTTAACAACTTATTTTTTTATTTATTTTTTATTTTTTAAGGTTCACAACAAAAACTAAATATACATTCAATCTTATTTTATTTATTTGGTTCAACAACAAAATCAAATACACATTAATTAATTAATTAAAAAGTTTGTTTTATCATAATCAAATATATAATTTTGAGACAATCAAATAAGTTTTAGTAATTGAAAAAAAAAATGTGGAAGAACGTGGAAGATTAAAAAAAAATTACAACCATCTCTCTCTCTCTCTCTCACTCTCACTCTCTCCCCTACATGTTATAAGAACCTGATTACAATGTTATAAGAGCCTGTTTGAAAAAATAAAATGTGAAAGAACCTGTTTGAAGAAAGTATTATAAGACTCATATTAAATTGCATCAGGGCATAAACAAGGAATTGTTTGTTGATCTCTTAGCCACGGACATTTTAGACATTAAACCATCTTTCTCTTAGCAAATTTGAACCACTTATTTTAATTTATCCAAAATCTAATTATACCTTTAACAAATTTGAACCACTCATTTTAAGATATCTATGCATTACCACACCCAATCCATCCTCCATCTGCTTCCTTTAGTCCCCCACAAATTTTGTTGTTTGTTACTTTTAAAAAACAAAAAATGTTTTTTCAATTAAATTTTTACTAATTTCGCAACACCATCATCACTATTCTCACTTTCATTGTCACACTACCATCACCATAGCCACTACCATCATCACTGCCGCCATCACCCCACCACTATGTAACAATCTCTACTTTCACTTTCGTTCCATCACCACCATCACCAAATATAAAAAAAATATTTTTCATTAAAAAATATTTTCTATCTAAATAAATGAAGCATAACATTGGGAAACAAGCTGATTTCAGTTAAATCTATTCATAACTAAGAAAAATTCTTTTAATTAAAAAAAATTATTTAATAAGACTTTGTATCCCCTTTTTGTTTTTCTAGCAAATAAATCTATGTACCCATCATTTCTAACCAATCACGACTCATGCTTGTTTTGATTCTCTACAATTTCCTTATTTTCAAATACATTCATATATATATATATATATATATATATGTTGTATAAAGTTTGGTCCAAAGAACATTAACCATCTGATTCAACAAACATTTTCGGAACATTTGTCAAAATAATTCAACCATTGAATGTTTTTGTACGAAATGAAATAGCTAAAATGGTTAAATGATATTAATTATTTTGTCTATATTATCTCTACAATTACATTAATCAAATAGTAAAAGTTCATTTTCACAAAAAATAGATTGTATGATAAAAAAAGCTGACAGTACATGATCACATGGATCATAACTGCAGCAAACCCTTGCATGTCTCCCCCCTCCTCCTCTCGATCTCTCTCTGATAGTGTTTGGTTCACGGGAATGAAGATAGGATGGAATGATCATTCCATCATAACATTCGTTCTCACATTTGGTTCACTAAAAAAAAAAATCAAGAAAATTACATTGCAATTGGAATCATATGCATAAAATTTGACAAGAATAATGTGACAATGTTAATTAATGTGTATTTGATTTTATTGTTGAGAAAAAAAAAAAAAAAAAAGATTGAATGTATATTTAGTTTTGGTTGTGAATCTTAAAAAAAAAAAAATATGGAGAAATTAGTAGGTACCCATCCCCAACCAATCCCTGTGAATATTTAAAGAATATCACTTACCCTACCCAATAGATAAGAAAAAGAAGAGAAAATCTATGTATTTTGGTTGGGTCTCCATAGATACCCACATGATAGGTTATCCATTGCCATCCCTACAAGCAGCATCTTTATGCTGCTTCTTATATTACCTTCTTGTTTACATTATTGAAAAAAAAAATTATCATTGCTTATTAAAAAAAAAAAAAAAAAATTGTTCTACAAACAACATACAATAATGTGTCTTGACCAGAGAGCTTGAAGCCAAAGAATTTAAAGTGAAGAAAATTAAATTAAAAAAAAAAATGGAACTGATGCTACAAATAAGACAAAAATGATGAACAAGATGATGAGAAATGGAGACCGAGCTTCCTAAATCGAGTATTTACATCAACATTCTTACTACTGTTGTCTGATGATGAAAATGAACATTCTGTTTTGGCTTCAAAGCTCACTCACCCATATCGAAGGTGGGAAGTTCCTTGGGATCTTCTAGAACTGTTATTTCCTTGAGTCAATGCGGACTGTCTTCGCTGAGAAACAGTGACGCACATAAACTCTGTGACTTCTTGTCTCAGCCGAGCAACTGCCTTGTACATTCACCAACAAAATCACTTCCTTATCTCTGGTGTCTTCAGACCACCAGCTTTGCGGGACCCCATCGACAAGCTCTTCTAGGGTATGGAATTCTTCGTGTCGTACTGCGACCTCCGCAACTTGATTAGGTTTGACTATGCCAGTTGCTGGCGAGACCTAAACCACAAACATCAAATATAAGTCTCGGGACACAGAACCATCACAGAAAAAACAGTTGACCCAAAACAGTCTCTTTAATAGTGTAACAATAATACAAACGCTTACCTGAAGCCAACGGGGAAAACCAAAGGAACCTCTTGGATGGTATTCGGATGGTTGTTCATCCTCCTGGACGGTGGACTGGCCTTCACATATAATTTGAAATATAGCAATATCAGCCCCACTCTTGTTGGTGATTCTTAGGATGGAAGTGTCTTGGTTTTGAAGGGTTATGCTGTTGCTACTGACAACTGTTTCGGGAACATAACATAATTCTTGAAGCAAAGACCTGATTTTATCATTGGATTTGATAATGTTCCCAACCTCTGCTCTCCTCACTGATCTATCGACATGTGCAATTTCAACATTGAGTTTGCACCGCACTGGTTTGTGATCACTTTCTGTCACATCCATACAAGCCTCGTACCTGTCAAGTAGGAGACAACTAGTTTTAAAACAGAGCCCAAGAAGAAAGAAAAAAAGAACAAAAGAAACCTACTGCATTATTGAAGATACAACAGGGCACTCTAAACTACACTCTGACGTTGAAGTTGACCGGTTGTCACGATATAGTATCCTGTCACACCAAGCAGGAATGCTTCTTCTCCCCAGAATCATATCCTGAAAAGGATAGAGACAGACGGGGAAAAAAAATGATATTAACGTTTTTGGGGTACCCCCATAATACAGGAGAAACATTTGGAAAGGCAATGCCAAACTGGTCCTTCCTAGCAAACAACTTCTGCAACTCGTAGAGTTGTGTTTACTTCTAAAATTAACTCGGTAAAAAGATTTTGTTTGAAGGAAAAAATTATTCCACTATCACATCATACCTCCTAAACCTGGTTTTCCCGGCTCAAACTTGTAAGTTGGAGGAAATCTGATGAGTGCCTCATGCATTCCTTGAAAAACTTTACCCGCTTTCATCTCTGCCCTAAGTTGATCCTTTTCTCTAAGCCAATCAAAACTTCTTTGTGAAACAAAGTCCCTTGCTTCATCATAAGATATTCCAAAAAGACGATAGTTAAAATCACCAAGAAATATGACCATATCAGCTTCAGCTAAATCAGGTCTTCCCTCTTCAGGATTGATCCCCCCAGCCTGTTAAAGCAGCATAACAAATATTTTAATGAAAGTTGGTGATTGAGAAAAAAGCGAATTAAGTTTAGAATAGCAAATCACAATAAGCACGTACATTGGTACCACGAAGCATTTGAACAGCAGTTGAGACACCAGCTGCAACAGAGAGGAGCAATGGCAATTCAGAAGAATAAAGCAGCCCCAAAATATATATGTGGATAAAGCAAGAGAGCAAGACAAAAACAGGTAGGGCAACATACCAGCAGCATTATTAAGGAGGTTAGATGACCGGCTGAAGACCATTGTTCGATAAATATGATCAAAATCAGCATTGCGGCGATTAACTGCTTCCAAATGTGCAGCCAAATGACAGTTCACGAAGCACATTATGCGATCATATACTCTCAACCTCAAACCTACACCCCCCTGCTCATAGAAATATAGCCATTTAAACCAAAATATAACAAGGAATTATTAGAAAAGAAAGAAGAAGATGCTTAACAAACTGGTTAATTGAACTCCACGATCAAATTTCTGCCATCTTTGATAAATAATATTATCTTGGATAACAACTTTTCAATTGCACAGCACCTTTTCACTCTTGCAAGAAAAATATATGTGCATATATATGTATACACAACCAAAGTGTGTTGTTCACCACTGAAGTCATACCCACCAGATAACTATCACATTATCCATTAAACTTACATCTTATTGTGGAAAAGAAGGATGATACACACATTATCATGTTACAACTCCATTAGAAGATGAAAAAAAATAAAAATAAAAATTTATGACATGAGAAATCTCCAAGGAATGGCTTTTCATTATTTAGCAACAAAGCCACCCAATATTAACTTTCATGCATCACAAATGAGCACAGTGAAGAAAGACACACCTTATTACCAATTGCACGACCTAAACCACAAGCAACAGCTCCAACATCAAGGTCCCCAACATGTGTTCTAAGTGTCTTTCTTACCCTAGGCAATGAATATCAACCACAGGATAAGGAACAAAGCAATGAAAAAGGTGGAATCCCTAAGGAGAAACTTCTAATGCAGGAAAAGATGCCTTGCCAAAATATGCTTTTAAGAAAAAATGAGAGACCTATTGCATGTAATAGGTTTGATCCATCATAAAAATGAAACCAGATCACCTAGTGATCTTCCAATGATAAAAATTTACCAGATAGCTATTAGCAGGGCTGCTAGCTGTCTGGATCCTACACGTTCAAAAGTCGTTCCTTCATCCAAGGTCTTTCCTATTGCATCCTGCCACCATTGCCCAACCGAACTCCCTTCAAGTCCTACCTACAATTGAAACAAAAACCAGTAAAAAATCATATACATGATATTATGATTATACATAAGTGGGTTTTTGAACTCATTTAATCTTAAATAGCTGAGTACGAGGGAGAGAACCCTAAGTTACTCTCTCATTGTCTCGTATCATTTCCCTTCCTCTTCTTCTTTCTTTCTTTTTTTTCTTTTTTTCTTTTATGAAGAGGGACCTCTCCAAGGCAAGGCCAATAAGTTACTCTCTGTGTACGAGGATGTTGCTTATTTGAGTGGGAGAGATTGTGTTATCCCATGTTGATTGAATAGTAAATGTTATTTTGGTATATAATGAACCAAGTGGACAACTACTGGCGACTTGGGCTTAAACTTTTGGGTTATGTTGATAGACCACTTAATTCTAGTTCAGAAGCTCCTCTTATGCTGTGGAAGTAGGCCAATTAAGTGAAGATGGTATAGACTAGTAACTCAACACTAGAGTAGTTTGACTGCATAATTTGACTCCAATAGCAGGGAAGATGTGCCAACTAGGCATAAGGCTATAACTTGTAAGACCAAAACAAGAAGGTTACTGTGCTAGTTCTCAAGAGTTCCAATGAAAGTATAGTCAACAACAATGTAGATCTACTTTGAAATGTCCACTAACTTCAGGCACAAAAACCTGATTGAAATTTTACTTTTGCTCTTACGTTAAAAGGCATTTCAAATAAAGTTCTTCCACATGAGTTGCCAAGAAACATGCAAAAAAGTTCGGGAGGGTCAGGGTCTTACAGTTTCTTTTGCCGCAGACATCGCCAAAAAACCTGCGCCCATTTCCACTTCTTGCAACCCAACTACAACGATGCCAACATCAGATACTGCAGTACCCACCCATGACATAAGTGCCTCATGAGAGGCCCGCCCTTGACTAACATTCCATGTGCCAACTAACATTCTAACATTTTCTTGTCTCGTGTATATTAGTTCTTTTGCAGCCAACTCTGACCGCAATATGTTGTCTAGTGGTCCAGGAGATGAGATGCTCCATCCACGTATACCACCATGAGTAGCCAAGCTAAAAACATTACCTCTCCCAACTACTAATTTTATCACAGGACTACTGTGAGCAATCCAACCTGCAATAAGATTTCCCTCCAGATTGAGCAACTGGACCATACCACTTAGATAGCCAACCCATATTCGTGACCCCGAAGTGCAAAAGCATTGAACAGCATAAGGATGGTAATGGAAATCTTGTAAGCGATTCCCATTTCCATCCCACTGCACAAGTAAGCCATTTGAACAGCCAGTCCATATCATTCCATCAAGAGTTAGTAGCAGTGCTTCTGTTCTTTTAGTATCTTCCACAAATGCACCTGCACCCTTAGTGGCAACCCGACGAACAGCATCTGCAGCTCCCATTATAGCATTACGTGAACGTTGCAGAAAACTATTTCCTTGGGATTTCTCCTTTTTAGATTTGGAAACGAACTTTACGTTCATCTCATCTTCAACTGCTTGATCTTGAACAGCTGACATGTCAACTCGATTCTCAATTTGACCATCTACATTGTATACTTTTAAAAGTTCCCTTGTACGAGCATCCCTGTATAGTTCACCATCAGGACAATCGAGATTGAAAAATGAAATATATACTTTCCTACACAATTAGAAAGGCATCAAGAAAGATATGCTTTTTCCCTAAAATTTTAAGCTATAAATAACTACCAAAAATGAAAAAGACAAGGGGGAAAATACAAATAAAGAAAGGTAACCTTCTCCTTGCCAATGCCCAATGAAATTGAAAAAAGGCAAAAAAACAATAAATAAAATTTTAAAATTAGTTGCTAATTCATTATTTTAATGTTTGCATCCACAAACCCTTCTCTCTCAATGTGGGGACACCCATGTGAGAGGGAGAGCTGTGAATGCAGCCTAAAAAGTTGTGGAGTCAGAAATTTCCAAACAAGAAGATGGCCAACTTCTTGGATCATCAATGTAAAGTCCAGCTATAAATTAGCCTTAGGGCAACAATGTATAACGTGCAAACCTACCACAATGAGAAGGATAAAGACCCAGCAGCCCATACTTTAGATCTAACATTATCAGATAGAAAGCACTTCACATCTGAAGAAGATATACTACACACACCATTAACCGTAACTTGGCTTCTCAGGTCAACGGCTGATCTCTCCACTAATAAAGCAGCCATGCGTCTTTCCTCTGATGACAGACACAGAGATTTTTCAATGGATTCCCATGGCCAAATCTTTATAATTCCTCCTTCAGAACCTGACCATAGGTCACCTGGATCCAAGAAATAAAAAGTTCAAAACAACTACATCATATGTAACAGTTTCTGAAAGGTATTTATCATGTATTGATAAATGTTCACACTCATCTAAAATTTGAGAAATAAAACATGCCAAATTGGGAGATTGGACAATAAAGTAGGACCCAAATAATGTCATAGAAAGATCATGTCACTAAGCTGTTAGCATGAACTGTTTCAAGATTCTTGCAGGGATGGGGTTAACTATATAATTTAGCCCAATAAAATGCATATAAACTGTAATACAGATGGTGGAAATAACTTGAGATAAACAGAACCATGCACTCATGTCAAACATTTTCAATGAATTAGTAAGCAATAACAGCATTATGTTTATAAAATATTCCGACTTTCAAGTTATAGTCCAATACATGTCAGGATCTGAATTCTAAACAAAAAAGCAAATCCTTAAAAACCCTAGTTTCCTTCTTTTATATAAACCTTCTACCATCATAATATAGATATATGCTACCCTTGGTAAGATATCCATCAATCAAGGAGGTCCAATGTGCTCTTCACAAACGACTAATGCGAACAAATGTATGATAAATTAAAATAAATCATTGTCGAGGAAGACCAATGTGCTCAATGGACACAAGGAGAAAACTAGGGACTCAATCACACATTCACGGGGCTCCTATACGCACACATATACTACAAAACACATTTTTTTTGAAAATATCTAACAATTAGTAAAATGGGAAGGGGATTTACCAAGAGAAGTTATCACCATGGAAAGAATGGGACCGCGGTGAGCTTGCCAAGAGAGACCTTCCCTGAAAGGAGTATCATCCAAAGGCTGGTCCATCTTCCAAGACCTAACCTTACCGTCCTTATGCCCAGACCATACCAATTTATTTCCATTGTCCACCAACAAACACATGGTGGGCGAAGTATTGACAGATTCGTAGAACGGTGCAGCATCCTCGTCCCCTCTTCGAGCCCTACCGCCCATTCCAATTCCCAACTCATACGCATCCGTCAAATTCCAAACCCTAATTCCAGACTCTTGCCCAGCCCAAAGCTGACTGTCCGTACAAGCAATAGTTCTCAAGAATTTCCCAACCTGAGTCTCTCTGAGCGGGTGTGGCCTCAGCTCGAGGCAGGTTGGGCGGCCAGGATGCACAGCGGCGCGCAACGGGACCTTGAAGATCCCGGTGCCGCCACCGCTGCCGACGAATTCCGGAAGCGGTTTTCGGACTTCGTCGGAGCATTCAACGGAGAGGTTGAGATCGAGCCTCTGGCTGAGATAAGACTCGTCGAGGGAGTCTGAGGGGGCATCGGTGGGGGTGACGGTGGTGGTGGAGATGGAGTTGGAGTAGGGGTAGGGGTAGAATTCCTCGTCGGAGGAGTCGTAAAAGTGGTCGATGTTTTGGGGGATGCGGTCGTCGTCGAGGCTGTGCTTACGCATTTGGTGGTGGCGCTTGTAATGGCCGCCGGTGTTGCTGCGCAATTGGTGGCTGTGGGAATGGGCTTTGCGGCGGGGCGGGGCGGAGGGCAACGCCGCCAGTGCCTCTCGGTCGTCTTCTTCAAGGCGTTCACCCATTGTTTGGGGGAAGAGAGAGTGGCAGAGCTTCGAGGATTGAGACAAAAAACATAACCACCACCAAGGAGAGAGAGAGAGAGAGAGAAAGAGTGAAAATTGGAGATCGGGAGAGAGAGAAAAAAAGAGGACATGACGAGTTGGGTGGTTAGTTAGTTAGTTAGTTGGTTGGCGAAGGGGAGGCGGGGAGTGAGGCGTAGCTTGCTCTGTTCGGACGGACACAAATGTTACAGTTGGTGTAATTGTGTTTTTTCTTTTCCCTGTGTATTTTGATAAAAATATATCATTTAGAATAAATTTTTAAAAAAATTAAATTTTACTTGAATTAGCTAGTAACAACTTACACTTTTCTTTTATCTGTGTTCACTTTTCTTCTCTCATGGCTTCTCAAACTGACTATAAAATCTTACTCTTCCTTTTCATTATCAATTTTTTATTTTTTTTTTATTTTTTTTTGGAAAGCAAATTTTGGGTGTAAAAGTTAGCAATATTACATACAGAAATATTCAAGGAACATCAGCAACAGAAGTTGTAGTGAAATTTCTCTGCAACAAAACGTATCCGTATAGTTGGATAAGATTAGAGGATGCAAAGCTCACTTATAAGAATCAATCAACTAAAGCATCATGTGCCAATGCCGGAGGAACCGCTTCTGGCATAGTTCAACCCACGAGTTGTTTGTAGTCAAATACAAAAAAAAAAAATGATTTATTTTATTTTACTTTCTTCCAAATGTTCCTAGGTAAGATATTATATCAAATTTATGTATGAATGTTGTTGTATTGAAAAAAATGATTTATTTTATTTTACCTTCTTCCAAACGTTCCTAGGTAAGATATTATATCAAATTTATGTATGAATGTTGTTTTATTGAAAGATTCTTTTAGTTGAGCCAATGGCGATATCAGTCAATTGAGTTTCAAACCTAGTCTTATAAATAGTATTGTCTAAACAACTTATGAGTCTCTTATTTAAAAAGTACTTTTAAATATTATGCTTTTGATTTACAAAATTGAGTACACACCTAGTTTTTTTTTCCACTATCCATGTCTTTAAAAGTCAATATTTCCTCCTTTTTATTTTTTCTTTTTGTTGATTCCAATTAACAACAATGGAACAGTGCTACGGCTAACTTGAAATTAACTAACATGTCTAGCATTGATTGGCTAATGCTAGAATTGGTCTATTGCACTAGCCAATTAGGAATCAATAAGATAGTTCGTTTAAGAATAAAATCTTTACCCTAGCTAACGTCCATGGAAATGTCATGACAACCAATATATTCTACAAGTGCTTTGATATTTTGCTTTCATGGATGTACTCATTGTTGTTCGGATGGGAGTTGCAATTAGCACACATAGTATTTTTAAATTCACTTATTAAAAATTATTTTTTTATTACAATTTTGCCTTCCAACGCGGTTATCATTAAGAATAAAATTACAAAAAAAAAAAAAATAAAAATAAAATATAAGTCAACGCCGCCAGTGCCTCTCGGTCGTCTTCTTCAAGGCGTTCACCCATTGTTTGGGGGAAGAGAGAGTGGCAGAGCTTCGAGGATTGAGACAAAAAACATAACCACCACCAAGGAGAGAGAGAGAGAGAAAGAGTGAAAATTGGAGATCGGGAGAGAGAGAAAAAAAGAGGACATGACGAGTTGGGTGGTTAGTTAGTTAGTTGGTTGGCGAAGGGGAGGCGGGGAGTGAGGCGTAGCTTGCTCTGTTCGGACGGACACAAATGTTACAGTTGGTGTAATTGTGTTTTTTCTTTTCCTTGTGTATTTTGATAAAAATATATCATTTAGAATAAATTTTAAAAAAATTTAAATTTTACTTGAATTAGCTAGTAGCAACTTACACTTTTCTTTTATCTGTGTTCACTTTTCTTCTCTCATGGCTTCTCAAACTGAAAACATACACATTTCTTTTACATGTGAGAAAAAGTTCGATGAAGGTGTGCCATTTTTCTTTTACTTTTTATATAAAAAAAATAAAAAAATATACTATTTAATTTGAAAAAATGTTGTGACATCTTTCTAAATTGATATTGGTAAAATAATTTTTTTAGTTTTGTATTTATTCGTATAATTTTATCTTTTAGTTCAACCAAATAATAATAAAATTGTCAAATTATTAATAATTTTTCTGATAATGGTCTCTAATCTGTCTATTTTTTAAAAAGATTAATTTGAAGGCCTATTTTTCTATTGAAATTTATGAATTTTATTACACTTTATTAATTTTAATATTATACGTAACACAAGTATTTCTTAGTCTTTCATGTTCTGGTCTTATAGATACAAACAAAATATCTATACAAAAAATTCATACAAAATGACATAACTTGGAAACTTGTAGTTATACTTAATATCTCATTACACCCATAAATGCAAAACTTACTTCATAAATACTATATTACAATGTATAAAGTGGGAATTATAAAAATAATTAAAATGTGTAAATAGAAGTTTTTCATAACTTTTTATGATTGTTTCATTTTAAGCAAAAACATTATGGTGGTGTTACACGTATCAATTGCTATACTAATTAGTGTTTTAATATATTATGACATTGTCATTCCAAAATTATGACTCCACTTATTATACAAATTATAAAGAATCACAATCTTTAAAATTATATATCATCCATTAATACACTAATTAATATATCAACTAATGTATATAGCATTATTCATCTTAAAATGTATTTTCATAAATTTTTACATGAATTATTTTCCAAAATAATACACATCATGCACTTTCGCATTATTTGTAAGAAATGGTGTTTGCTATCATTTTATTATTTTCCGTTGTTTTTGTACATTACATCAACGTGTGCACGGAATAAATTTAAATAAATAAAACAAAATCAAAACCAACAAAAATAAAAAATAAAAAAAATTGAAGAAAAGTTTGGTCAGGTAAAGTTGTGGAGTAACCGTGACACCTTAATGTTGTATTTGGTTGGGAGATTTAGGGAGAAATTTGGAAAGAGAAAGGAAAAGGGAAAAGGTATGTGAAACTAGGTGAAATATAAGTATATTTTATTTACATTTCACTTACCTTTTCCGTTTTCCTTTCCAAATCCCTCATCAAATTCCTTAACCAAATACAGCATAAGGTCCGCATCTTGAAATTTAAAGATACAAAAATTTAAAATATAAATAAACATTTTTTCTTCATAAATTTAAAATTCAAAGCTGTTCATCCAAAGCCGTTCATCACCATAGTAAACCCTGCCCAGGCTCCTACTTCTCCTTGCTCTCACCTAATAAAATTAAGATTGCAAGTGAACTGAATTATTCACGAATAAACTCAACTTAACTCGTTAAATGCTCAACTCATTTAGTAAATGAGTTAAACTCAAGTTCAAATATTAGGATGTTTAGTAAACAAGTTGAGCTCAACCTCGAATAAACTCGGCTTGTCAAGTTCGGCTTATTTGTCTCTATTTAAATTGTATAATAAATATATATTTAATATATAAATATATTATTTATATATTAAAAATATAGTACTCTTTGGTATCAGAGCCAAGTTATTGATATGATGAGTTATTGTTTAGTTATTTTAGTTTAATTCTTCTCTTGTTGAGTTCTGTACTTTAATTCCAGCCTTCTTATTTCTTGCTACGTTATCTTTGTCTTTTACTCTACCAGTAACCACCCACCTTTCGTCTCACGTCTAGTGTAAGTCCTTGATTAGGCAGTTGATAGGCACAGGGGTTTCCAGGAGAGGGTATGAACAAAAATATAGTATGCGAAAACATGATAAGTTATCATTGAATTTAAGAAAATTGAATTAATTTTACAGAATCACAATGAGTCGTTTATTCCGAGGTAACTCTTTAGTTAGCTCTAAATCTACAACTTTGACTCCTATACCTAGTACAGATGTACTGATTAATGAAGAAGAACATGAATTTCAAGATGTTAAAATTGATTTAAGTTGGAATATTTCTAAAGTCAAAACTAAAGAAATCTACAAAACTAGTTTTTTACAATCCACCTTTAACGTAGATTTACAAGTCAAAACTGTTGAACAACTTTATGCTTTAACTAAGATATATGAAACTTGCCAATTATTATCCAAAGAGTCAATTAGAAAATATCTCAAAGATAGTCATAATTTTATTCATTTAGGATTAATTTCAGTTGGAATCAAACCATTAATCCTGCAAGGACGAAACACTTCGGTCATTTTATGTTTACGTGATGCTCGCTTTATTAATTATTATGATAGTTTAATGGGTATGATGGAATCAGGCCTCCATAAAAGACCTGTTCATTTTTTTGTTTCCCTAATTTTACTTTAAGTCTTAGAGATCCTCATATATTATAAGTTTTAACGTTAAATATTCAATTATCTGGTGCATTTACTAATGTGTTAGAAAATGTTCATAACATTGCTTTAATTTATCGAATTTATACAAATGTATTAAAACTAACTTGAATGTTCAAGCTTTAACCAAAAGTCCAAAGGATAAAACATTACTCATCCAAGGTAGTATTACTGAAACTAATATTTCAGTCCCAAAAATGATTTGTTAGAAAGATATTACTCTTCTTGATGATTGGGTTACAGTTAATGAAAATTATTCTCAAAATCAATGACCTTCCACTAGTCAGGATATTTAACACATTCAACAATTCACCGATGGTTTTGTGCATATTAAATTTAATCGACCTTATAGTCAATCTTCTCGCCATAGTACTTCTAGTATCCTTACTGATACTGAGGATGATGAAATCTTTACCACCCCTCTATTTGCTCGAAAAGACAGGAAACTTCACCTTTGTGAACCTTTCTCACAAAACTTGCACACTACACATAGTAAATTAAAAGGAATAGATAATTCATCTACCTCTCAAATTAGTAAACCAGTTTATTCAACCCAAACACATCTTCATGACGAAGATACTACATCACAGGATTCACCTACTCAAACTGATTTTGAAGTTGTTCCTCCTATTAACCCACAACTATTAATTCTTAGTAAATCATTTACTCCTGATCTTAATAAACTTCATGCTAAGTTTAAATCTAAAGAAAATAAGTCAAAAAGACACACCTATAAACATAATTATGATGGAAAACAACAATAAACAATTACCAGGAAATGGTATAAATTTATGACTAAAATCAATTTCTTTGATTATTTAGAAAATAATTATC